CTGGGAAACACCCGCCGCGCTTTTGCCACCGCCGTTTATTGCAGTGGTTGGCACGAGAAAATTGTGAAGAGATCGGACATGAAATACTCTTTTATGACACATTCGACCTGTGATTTACAAGACAGTAGAGCGCCGTGAAACCTCAGAGAGGGTGGAATGTGGTGAAATGCATTTCGGTATGCAAAATATTTCAGAGCTTTTCTCTCTGGCATGTGTCCGCCATATGCTGGCAGGACCATATGCTTACTGCAAATAAAGGTTATTTATAGTGTTGTAAGAAATTGATATAAAAAGTTAGTGGATTGGATTGATGTTTAATTGAAATATTGCGTTACTGATTCTCACTTACATACTGGTGTTACGCCAGTGCTGAACTTAAGCAAGGTTTAAAAAACGAATCATTCTATCACAAAATGTTTCTGATTTGAAGCCAGTGTAGCAGGAAGTTGATGAAAGTTGATTTCACCAGGTTTGAATAAATGTAAATTCTATCTACACTGTACAGACTTTACATTTAATTCCATAGGTACAGTGTTGTATTTCTTAGTTTGCTGGAATGCTTCCAGATGTCGTGAATGCTAGAAACTGTAGGGAATACTTTGCCTGCAGCTCAGATTGTCTTTGGTACCAAAGACAGACAATTACAAGAGACAAATCCATTGGAAAGGAGGCTTTATTGATTACAGTGATCAAGAAATTGCCTAGATGTACTCTCGAACAACTAGATGTGCATACGTACAGATTCTATCCGCCATACTTAGTAATTATTTCTACTTGTCTAGTTCTTGTCCATATGAATAATACAGTAATATGGTACAACTAGTAGAAAACTTAACAGTGTTGTAATTACTTTAATGTATGAAGATCTTCTGATGACATCTCTTCTGCATATTTTGACTGCAGCTTGGATCTGGTATGGAATTACTTTTTTTTTTTTTCTTCTTAGTACCATGCTGAGTATGAATTCTGGGCTGTAGTAACTTCTGTTTTCTTAAGAGAGCTGGTTTTTTATTTCTAAATTTCATAGATCATAAGCACATCACAAAGACTGACCAATTCAGGGAGCGTTCTGATTGGGAGTCCGTATAACCCAGCTCCAACAATGGTCACACAGACACACATAACAGAAGCTTCTGGCTGGGTCCCAGGGTAAGACTTTTGAGGATCTGTTCTGATCTTTTCCTTTATTTATACTGTTGTATATATATGTTGGCTTACGGCTTCTAGTTCTTGCACAACTAAAAGAAGTATGCGCTTCAGGCTATTACACACTTTTGATGTCTGGACCATGTGAACATGGACGTACAAGCACCGGTCGCTTCACCACCTGTTTTAATTTTGTTTTATGGTAACATCTGTTTCTTTGTGAAAATGGAAAGTCCCAAATTCATGAGTCCTGTTAAAACAAGCCTTTTTTTTTTTTTAATAAATTCATGATATAGCCAAGTAGCTTTGCTATTGAGCATTACCAGCGGGTGCCAATGGCAGGAGAGACTGTCAAAAACGCTTCCAGAGGCATTTAAGAATAAACTCTAATGGAAGATTTCCAATGTAATCAATGTATTTTCATTACTATTTTACATTAGCAACAAGTTTTCATGGGGTTCTGAGGTACTCCAGAGTGACATGACTATCTTTATCTCTTCTAAGGAAATCTGGTCTTTACAGTATTTGTTTGTTTGGTTTTTTAATACCCATACTGCTAAGCTTATCTGTCTTGGGACAGATGTAGTGCTTTACCTCTGAAAATTAAGAAGTAATTTATTTCTGCATCTCAGTTAATTTTTCTAATCAGTGATGAATGTCAGTAGTACCTTTCCAGCTTGAGAGGTGGGAAAATGAAGCATCTAGGAAATGACAGAAATGAAAATGTCATGTTTGTACCTTGACTTTCTTCATTCTATGCTGTAAGCAAAAGCTGTCATAGGCTTGTACTTCCCAGTTGCTATATTGCCACCATAGAGCCAATAAACTGCATGCCCAGCTGAGCAGTTTTTAAGCTTGATTTTTTTGCTGAGTATGAAACACCTTTTCAATCCACTTAGTTCTGATTTTATTTGAAAAAAGGAGTTGTCAAAGATCACTTTGTTTCTGCAACTGTTGTGAAATATGGAGGCCAGGCAGAAATTCTTTTAGTAGGCAGAGGAGGGAAAAGCTATAGTGACTGTTCACAGCTTGCTAAACCAAAGAATCAACACCCATTAGCTTTCTTGACATTCATCCAAATCGAGTGACAGAGATTCCCCAAGAGAAGCCTAGTTGCAGTGCATCAACCACCACCACCGAAGAGAAGCACCATCCTTCTGTTTGTATACGGTCAAAATCTAGACACAGTATTTCCAATGAGCCTAACTACTGTTTTACCCATAAAAAGGAGCAAGATGTTCTCCAGACTGGCCAATCAATACTGATCCCTGCAGAAGTCCATATGATAGGTCGTATTTTCATCTGAAGAAGAGAGGTGAGGAAGGGTCTGTGGTATTGCCGAACCAAAGCAGTGAGCCCTTGCTGAAGACAGTTCCAGAGGATTGCAAGTCCAAACTCCTTGCTTTTGCCTGTTGTTTACTCCTCTTGACAGATTCCAAATTGTTTCCAAAACCAAGTAAGACAAGAGCACGCGCATACTCATTCTGCAGGCTCCATACAACCTCCAGCAGCCTGACTTACAGACCAGGGGTCAGCTCTCCATTCACTGCCGTTCCAGGTCCCTGCTGTCCAAGGAAGGGCTGCAGCCCCCCAGCCCAGCTGCGTGCACCCCCCAGGCGTGCAGTGTGCGGGGTTAAGCACCATGGACAGGGACTGCTACAGACAAAAATCCCACGGTTGCTGCAGAGGAAGAGATCTGCGGATGGGTTCTGGATCGCACAACCAAATATATGCAGGCTTTCACAGCACAGATCTTCAAATCTATAAATGTCCTGAAAATACAGGGTATATCTTTTGCACTGTTTAAAGGCATTTTTCTTCCACATGGAGGAATTTTAAATAGGAATTTTCAAAGAAGCCCAGCTTCTCCTTTTTGATGGGATTTGGTTCTCTAGGTCACATCATCACTTCCTGTAGTTCCAGATGAAGCAAATTCCCTAAAACCATACAGGCAAAGCATGGTAAAGTTGGGAATAGAACTTGTCTTGGCAGTGAGCTCAGACAACTTCCAAAGTCCTAACCACCTTCCCACAAAGTTTGTCAAGCTCAGTGTGTGTTGTTTTCTCCTTTCAGTAAACATGTAATAGCAAACATTAGTACCCAACTAGGCCCAAAATACATTGATTTTATTGGTCTAAATATATAATGTTATTTTCATCTTAAGTTTGAATTGTCTTTTCTTAGGGACAGAAAGCGGACTCGAGAATTTATAGAATCAGATTTTTCAGAAAGGTGAGCATGACTGAGCATATATTTTATGTACATGGTAATACCTGTTTTACTTCTTCACATCTGCCCTTCAGAGATGGGTGTCCAGTTCCCACTTTCAGCAGTTTTCACTCCTCCATGTAAAAGCTATGCTGTATGTTATTCTTTGTAGTTGTAACTCATTACTCTTTGCTTTATCACTTCTTGATAAATACATTTGCTGTTACAGGTGATACTGGGAGTTGTGAAAAACAAATACATCTTCAGAAACAGGATTGTTCTAGTTTTCAGTGTGACAAATATTTGTAAACAGATGATCTTTTCCTTTGCTTCTGAAACTTCTTTGAATGCATTCAAGGTGGTTTTATTTGTTTACCTATCAGGGGTTATGCAAATTGAATATCTGCATATTGGTTAGGAGTGGTGGTTTTGTTTGGTTGTTTGTTTTTTTTAAATCTTCTGGTGTTCCTTTCCACTCTTCCCTTTCTTCTGTCCTTCTTTCCAGTGTTCCATTTTTCTTAAATACATTCAAAATTTTGAAAAGCATTCTTGTATTTTAATGTTTTCATTAGCTGGTTACTGTTGACAGAACTGGGCCCTTTTCTGTAAAATAACAGATCTCCCTGAAACATATTATCAAACTAACTTGAAAAACTGTAATAAAAAAAAAACAAACAAACAAAACAACACAGCGGAGTCTTTTAAAAGCTTCTGTTGAAATATGCATCCAAATCTAGCTTATGTGATAAAAACCAATTGCTCCTGTTTTTTCCATTACCATTATCCAAGCTCTTGCTTTTAGGGAGGAAAAAAGTGAATGGAAAATAACCCTGACAGTTGCCAGTCATTACTGTGGCAGCATAAAAACCAGTGAGTACGTGCTTACTCTCCACAGAAGAGATTCTTGTATCTCAGTCTTAACTATGATGGCACAGATGTATTAAATTTGGTCATTAGGAGAATTAAGGTATCTTTTGCTGTATTGTAAATAGGGATGTCTGAGCCTTTCTCTTTTAAGCACAAACATGAGAGTTCCCTGTAAATCTGGCTTCCAGGCACATAAACACCCTGTGAGGTTTTCCCCCTTGCTGGTTGATCTTTTGTGAAACTACCTGAAGATTAATTACAAATCCAGTTTTTAAAACATTTACCCAGCAGCATGTGTTCAAATACTATCAATGTTCAAATATTATCAATGTAGAAATCACCGAGAAAGGGGAAAGGGTTCCACTGTACTTTTTGGGCAACTTGTAAGAAACAAGAAACTGGTCCAAAAAGCAGAACAGTTTTATTTTTCATTCAGGCCATTTTCATAACAGGTCGTTTTCATAATGTCATGAGTCCTGATT